GAGAGGTATTTAGTCTATTTGATAACTTATTTTCATTATATTATTCATTATTTAATATAGGCTTTTTCTATCTGGACTTGTTTTTATTTTTAATATTAAATCTTAATATAAGGACTTTATTTAATTTAATTTTTGTATTATTTCATTTTCTGTATTTTCTGGTTAACAATTCGGTTAAGTGTTCGGTTAAGAATTTGGTTAAGAATTTTCTATTATTTCTATTACATTATTGTTTTTATTTTATTTTTTGTTATTTTTTTCTTTTTTGATTTTAGAAAATATTTCATCTTTATTAAATTAAAATTTGCTTTTTCTCTAGTTTTTTGAATTTTAGTCTTCTTTATAATTATTAATTGTATATTAAGTAATATGAGAAGAATTATTAGATAATAATTTAAAATCATAATAATTTAGTTATTATTCATTAATTTCTCTACTACTGTTTTATAAAGCAGATTTTTCGTCATTTTTATATAAAATTGTTCTTTAAATATTTGTTGAAGATTAGTTTATCGAATGAGTTGATTTACTTTGAGTTATTTTTGTTTTTGGATATGCTTTTATTTAACTTTTTTCTATTGTTGAGTCTTTTTTGTTATACTAACTGTTAATTGTCTCATTTGCTTTATTATATTGACTATGGTTTCTTTTTATTTATTTTTAATATTAATTTATTGTTTCTAATGAGGGTTATGAATTATTTTTTAATAAAGGCAATTTATTTGGTGATTATTAGTCATTTTTAGAATTATACATTTTATATGATACTTTAATTTTTATTATTTATACTTTTTTAAAATAATATGAGAAAAACTTAGAAGCTGTTTGATCTTTTTAAATTTCTTTTTTTATTTGTTTAAATACAGTAATTATAAATTTTTATTAAAGGCTATTCCTAATTTATTTATTTTTATAAAAAACAAAATTTTATTTAATTTAAAAAATGCAATCTTTATATGAATTTTATTTTTATGAATTAAAAAAAATATAAAATTTTATTTAATAAATCTTAATAGTAATATTTTTATTTAAAAATTTAAAAATAATATTTCTTTTTATTATTTTTTTTATTAAATATATATTTTATTATATTTATATAAGCAAACAATTATAATATAAATTTAGAGGAAATTAAAAAATATAAAAAAATCGTAAATTGTGAAAAATTGATAATATAAAAAAAACTTATAATTCTTATTTTCATGTATTCTAAAATAATAAATATTTAAATAAATGAAAATTATAAATTTAATAATAATTATTATGTTTATAAAAATCATTATATAAATATAATAATGATATTAAAATTTTTTAAAATAATAAGAATGTTTCTTTTATAAAAAATAGAAAAAAAGATGTTAACAAATGTCTTATGAATAAAAAATTAATTAGGTTGTATATTAAATTAAGTAATAAATAGTTAATTATTTGATAAATTAAAATTTAATTATAGAAAGACATTTATTTTATAAATTTTTTAAGAATATTTTTTTTTTTTATTAAAAAAATGTTTTTTGAAAAGTTCAATAGTTCGATTTAAATAAATATTATTAACTTATTTATTTGGATTTTTAATTAAAAATATAATAATCATATAACTTATATATAACTATTTTAATTATTTTTTTTCAGAAAGATAAAGAAATAATTTTTTTTTAATATATATTATTCTCAATTTAGATATTTTATTAAAATTTATATTAATTTAATTATTTTAACAATGTAAATAACAAACAAAATTTATATATTTAAATATTTTAGTGTTTTTAATATTTTTTTCATAATTTTAAAAAAAAAATATATTTAAAATAATTTTTAATGTATAACCATATACAAAATTCATATATTAAAATTAATTTTATAGAAAATGTTAATTTTCAAGTGTTTTTCAATTATACATATATTTTTTTCTTGTTTTTTATTTTTTTTAAATTAAAAATATTTTTAAAATTAAAAATATTTTATTATTAAATTCTTATTTTTCACTTATATATTATAAACGCAAATTGTTTTTATCAATTTAATGTTATTTTTTTTTTTTTTAAAAAAAAAAAAAGTGGTTTCTATTAAAATAGAAAGAAAAATTAAAAAAATTAAAAAAAAAAAATTAAAAAAAATGGATAAATAAAAAGTTTTTAATTCAAATAAACAACCCTTTACTATTATAAAAAATTATTATAGATAAAAAAACATTCTAATTTAAATTTTTCTAAAATATTATTTGAGAATGATGATTATCTATAGTTGAGAAGAATAAAATTTTTAAAAAGTTTAAGAAATATGGCCTAACATAATAAGAAAAGTTAAGATGTAATATAATATTAAACACCCATTAGAAAAAAAGAAAGCTATGAATTTGATAAAAATAATAAAAACTAAACTTAATAAAAAAAGAATTAATCAGAAAAATAATTTTAAATTTACACAGGTAAAAATAAATTATTCTTTTTCATTATTTTTTTATTATTTAAAAATAATTATAAGCATATAATCACTTAGAAGAGACTAAAGCATCTTTAAATGATTATTTAAAATACTCAAATTAATCTCATAAAAATTATAATGAATAAATTTAATTATATAATAAAGATAATAATAATTTTAATTTCTAAAAAAATCAAAATTAAAATATGAATATAGAAAACTTTCTAAATGAAGAAGACTCGAATAATTATAACTATGATATTTATTTAAATACAATTGATAATTAAAATTCTAATTAATGTTATTACTTTAATAATAATGAAAAAACATAGTATTAGTATAGTAATAATAATTTTCTTGAAAATATTATAAATGACATATGATTTGTATTTATATATAATCTTAAAAGAAAATATATATTCATAAAATATAATATATATTTTATAAATTGAAATTAAATTATTTGTTATATGTTTTCTATATTTTTTAATAATTATAATTTATTATATGTGAGATTTTTCATTTTTATAATATATTTATTTTTTAATATTTTTACTAAAATATAATGAAAACATATTTTTTGATAAAATTATACAGCAGATAATTATTTATTAAAATTATAATTGACTTTCATATCCACACAAATTAAAAGTATTAAATTACCATTTTTTTTTATAAAAAATAAAAATATAAAAAAATTAAATAATTAAAATTAAAAAATAAAAAATAATGATTTGGAAAAAAAATAAATAAAATAAAAAATATAAATGTAATTAAATTAAAATATTATTATTTTTCTTTATATATAAATATTATTAATATGAATTTTACATATTTTAATAATTTGCTTAAATAAATTAATAATTTATATAAATAATTTTTTATATTAAATTATTATTTAAAAAAATGTAATCCATAAATTCTAATAAATAGCAAAAGTGGAAAATTAAACTCAAAGTTAAGCAGGCTAGGATAAAAGGTGGGGACGGTTTAAGCCTGTAGGATGAGGTTTATGCTATTTCACACTCTAAGAAAAAGCAAACCAAACGGCCTACGATATCGATTCGTACTGTCTTTATAACGAATAAATTCCTATAAATGAGATTACTGTTTTAGGTGTATAAGAAAAAAAAAAATTAAAAAATAATAAAGATAATTATATATTTTTTTTTAAATTAACAAATATTATATATAATAAAATACATTATTTATTTTAACACTTTTTAGAAAATTCGAATATATAAAAATTATTTTATTTTTAATTGAAAAAATCTAAATATTCTTAATTCATGCTAATCTATTTAGAATATTAAATATTTAAAAAAAATTAATTTATAGAAATGAGTTTAATTTAAAGTTTTGGATTTTTATATATTTTAATTTATTTTATAATAAAATAAAATAAAATATTTTAATTAATTTAACTTAAATATTAATTAAATATTTTAAATAAACTAAATTATTATTTGAAATATTGTATAATTGTTAAAAAAAAAATTGACTTAAATTAAATTTTTTATTCTTTTTTTTTATGATGTAATTTAATAATTCATATAAAAAAAAAAATTAAACGATATTTTTAAATTATAAATCTTAATTATATAAAATTTAAAATAAAAAATATTTTTAAAAGTATAATATTATAAAAATATATTTAAATTTTTTAATTAATAAAAATAAAATAGATATAAATAAGAATTTTATATATATTAGTATAAATAAATAAATAATATAAAATTTGGAAATTACGATTTATTCTATAAACAATTAAAGAAGTTATGTTAAAAATTTAAATTAATTTAATTAATTATATATTTAGATAAAAAAGTAATGTTTTTATTAAATTTATATAATAAAATAAAAATAAATGTATATACGGATATTAATATAAATATATATATTTCAAAAATAAATATATAAATATATAAATATATATATATATATATACAATATTAATTTATATTTTTATTTATATATATTTTTTAATATATATTTATTTACATTCATTAATATTTTTTTTTTTATTTTTTATTTATATTTTTGTATTCATATTAATTATTTCTATAAAATTTATATTTATAAAACAACATTTTATTATATTAACTTAAATAATATATTTTTAAAAAAATAATTTTATTCAATATTCTATTAAATTTAAATTCATAATATATAATATTTTAAATATTATATTCTAATTTTATATTAAAATATATATCTTATTTAGAAAAATTTAAAATCATTATATATTTATTATTATTTTTTTAAAAATATAATAATAATATTTATTTTAAATACTAAATATTTTAATTTATTATTTTATTATACTATAAAATAATTTTTATTATTTATTCTTTTTTTTCAATTTATTAAAAATATTATATATGTATTTATTGTTAAATTAAAATATATTTTCATATGATTTATTATATAAATTAAATCTATATTATTAACATAATTTTCAATACTAATAATTTTAAAAATATTCTAAAAATTATGTTTTAAATTAAACATATAAAAAATAAAATATATTATTTTCTATTTTGTAATCATATATTAATTTTATATATATTAGTAAATCAACATTTACATGGATTACATTAACATCCATTACCACATTTACAATTATCAGTAGTTCCACATTTGCATGGATTACATTAACAATTTGTACAGTTACATTAGGCTGTGGTTCCACATTTGCAAGGATTGCATCCACATGGATTACATTTGCATTAAGCTGTTGTTCCACATCTGCAAGGATTACATTAACAGTTTGTACAGTTACATTAGGCTGTGGTTCCACATTTGCAAGGATTGCATCCACATGGATTACATTTGCATTAAGCTGTTGTTCCACATCTGCAAGGATTACATTAACAGTTTGTACAGTTACATTAGGCTGTGGTTCCACATTTGCAAGGATTGCATCCACATGGATTACATTTACAAGCCGCAGTCGTACCACATTTACAGGGGTTACATTGACAATTATTGCAATTGCATTTTGCGGTTGTTCCACATTTACAAGGATTACAGTTGCAAGGATTGCATTTACAGGCAGCAGTTTTACTATGTGATTCCATATTTTTGTTTGTTTGTTTTTTTGTAATTTTTTATTATTTATTTTTTTATTAATTTTTTAGTTTATAATTTTTTTTTTAAAAGAGTATTTATATTATAAATAATTGTATATTTTTAAATTGAAGTTTCTTTTTAATTTTAATTATTTTTTTTAAAAAAAAAAATAAAAAATTTCTTGAGCCTCAGGAGTCAATGATTAACTGTTTTTAATTAATCTATTTTAAAATTTATAAATAAATTAATAATATGTTAAAAGATTTTGAAATTATTTATATTATTTCAAAAAATATAATAATATAATTATTTTTATAAAAAAAATAATATATAATTAATAAAAATTAGTTTTTTTATATGTATTAAAAATAAAATAATTAGTTTATTTATGTAAATGTCTAAATAAAATTTATTTATTCATATACATAAATTACTTTTTATAAATGTTTATAGTATATTTTCTGTAATCATTAATATAAAACTAATTAAATAAAAAATTATATTTAGTTTTTTTTCGCATTTTTTTATTTTCAATTAACTTTTTAAATAAATTCTAAGTAAAATAAAAAAAAAAATTAAAAAGTAAAATATATTTTAAACACATTTTTCATATTTTTTTATTTTTTCTGATTTTTTATTTTTATAAAGTTAATCAATATCGAAAAAAAAAAAAAAAAACGTTTATATAAGATTTATATATTCTAATTATGAAAACAGTGAGACATAATTATATATTTTTTTATATAAAATAAATATAGTTTAAATTGTTCTATTAATTTTTTCTATTATTTATAAATTTAATAAATTAAAATGAAAATTTTTTATCTTGAGTTTAAAAAATGATAAAAATTAAATATTAATAATTTTTTTTAATTTTATATACATGATTTGAATAATATATTTAATTTTATATTCGAAATATAATAAGTAATTTATTTAATAAATTAATAATTTATTAAATTAAAAATAAAATTATATACAAATAGGTATTATATATATATTTATTATTATTTAAAAAAATATTTATAATTATTAATTATTTAATAAAAAATATTTTTTTTTTCTATAAAAAAATTATAATTAATAATATTTATTTAAATTATTAATATAAATGTTAATAATTTATTAAATTATAAAAATTTTTAATAAAGTTATTAATTTATTTATGTAAATATTTAATAAAAAATCAAATATTATTAATAATAAGTAATATAAGATATTTAATTTAAAATTTTATATATTATAAAAATAAAATAAAAATAAAAATATATAAATATATAAATATTATTTAATATTTATTTTCAGATATATATTATAATAAATATATATTAATATAAAAAATATATATTATTTAAACAATTTTATTTTTATAATTTGAAAATCTACTATAAAGTCATTTAGTTTTATTTTTATTTACAAAACTATAGAAAAAATAAATATAAAAGATATATAATATTATATTCTTTTAATAACACAATCTATAAAAAATTAAAAATTTTCTCTTCTTTTTTTTTTTTGAAATATTTTTTAAAAATATAAAATAAATCTTTAAAAAAATTAATTTTGAAAAAATAAATTATTATTTTTTAAACAAAATAAAAAATTTAAAATAATATAACTTTTAATTTATCTAAATTAATGAATATAAATATAATTAATTATACAATAAAATAAAAAAACCTGATATATAATAATATTATATCATATAATAAAATAAATAAAAACACGTTTATATAGATATTATTAATAACTAAAAAAGGAATAAAATTATAAAAATATGATCAAAAATAAAACAATAAGCTTTTTTTTAATTTTAGCAATTTTCATGTTTTAATTATATGCTGAAGTGTTTAAATTTGGAGATAAAGAAATAGATATTCCTAATAAATAATTATAAGAACTAAAAGAATTATTTTAGTAAATTGATTAAAATTAAGATGGAAAATTAGATAGAAATGAGATTTTAGATATATAAGATGAGTCTGATTAACCAACAAATGAAGAAGCAGAAGAGTTTTTATAATTTGCAGATTTAGATAAAGACGGATTTGTTTAATTCAATGAATATGTATTTCTTGGATATGAATAATTTTAATAAGATTAGTAAGATGATGAAGATAATGAAAATAATTAAGTCGAAGTTGTTGATGATAATAAATAAGGAGATTTATGAGAAAAAAATAAAAAAATATTATGAAATAATATATGTATATTGTTTTAATATTATAAAAATTAAAAAAAAATGAACTTTTTTAATATCAAATTATAAGAGTATTTTTTTTGATTTCTATAAAAAAAAATTAAAGAAAAAAATACTTTTTTTTTTTTTTTTTTTTTTTTAAAAAAAAAAATATAATTATTAAATATTTATATATAAAAAACGATAAATATAAAAAAAATAAAAAATGTCATAAGCAAATAGTTAAAAATTAATTTTTAGCTAAAGTATAACACAATAAGATCAAAGTTCGACATTTAAAATTTTAATAGCCAGTGATAATCACTTAGGATATAAAGAAAAAGACTTGATTCGCTCCGAAGATTCATTTTAAGCATTTGAGGAAGTTCTATAAATAGCAAAATAACAAAAAGTCGATTTACTATTATTAGGAGGAGATTTATTCCATGAATCTTAGCCTTCATAATAAACTTTATATAAATCAATAAATATATTAAGTTAATATGTTTTAGGAAATGAAGAAATATAATTCGAAATACAAAATTTTAAAGCAAATTATATGGATTATAATGTAAATGTTGACTTGCCTATATTCATGATTCATGGTAATCATGACTATCCAAATAATGATTATTAAAATTTGAGTATTTTAGATATTCTACATTCTACTAAGTATTTGAATTTATTTGGAAAATATCCCATATAATAAAAAATTGTGGTAAAACCAATAATTTTTTCTAAAGGAAAAACTTAAATTGCCCTATATGGGGTCGGATATATAAAAGATAGACATTTCCATATGATGTTAGAAGAAAAAAGAATAGAATTTGAACAACCGAAAAATGATAATTGTATCCATATATTGATTATACATCAAAATAAATATAAAGGAGTTAGCAATTCAAATTCGTATAAAAATTGTGTTCACCCGAGTTAATTCCCTAATTGGTTAGATCTTATTATTAGAGGACATGAACATGAGTAAATTGATGAGATTGAAAATGTATAATTGTAACCTATTAAGGTTATTTAACCGGGATCTACGGTTTCTACTAGTCTTATAAAATCTGAGGAAAGTCCCAGGAGATGTATTTTGTTGGAAATTAATAGATAAAATGCATCCTTTTAAAACTTTTTTTTATTGAATTCTTACCGACCGATTCTTTGTTTAAATATTGAATTAGGATAAGTTATAAAAGATGAAGATAGGGGGTCGAATGAAATCTAGGAAAATAAACTTTTAAATTATTGTTGGGAAGAGTTTAATTCTTTTAGGAAAAGAATTTAAAAGGAATATAAAAAAAATAATTCTGTTTTAAAAAAGAAACCTTTAATTAGATTCAAAGTGGAACATAGTGGGTTTGAGTGTTTTAATTTGTATAAACTAGAAAATAAATTTTTAGAAGATTGCGGAAATCCGGGGGACGTGTTTAAATTTTGGAGAAGAAGTGTATTTTAAAAGAAAGAAAATAAAAAAGAAATAAATTAGAAAAACTTTGTTTAAAGTTTAATTAGAAAAGAGGATATCGAAGTCTTTGGAAATGAAACTGTTAATGATATTTTAAGTTTATATTAGGAAAGACTGAAAAATAATAGCAATATAGAGTTTTTACCACATTCTTTTGTATTAAATTAACTAGGGTAAGATAATTAAAAAAATGTAGATAATATTATTGATAATATTTTTTAGAATTTGGCTTAATAGGTATAAAAATAAGAAATAAGTAATATTAATAGGATTAATGAATTTTTTAAAGACAATGTAAGGAAAAAATTATAATGTATTTAAAATTGCGTTAATTTAAATCAAGATTTTCTTTAGGAAGAAGAGATTATGGAAGGTTTCCCGATTAAAAGCTAGATGTAGAATTAATTTAATGAATTAAAAAATAATATATAAAATATTATTAAATAAAATGCTTAAGACATTTATAAATTAGATTTTATTTAAAATAATAATGATAATAATAATAACGATAATAATAATAATTATAATAATCAATAATAATTATAACATTAATAAGTATAATAATCAAAACAAATTTAATAATAATCAAAAAAAAAATCAAATATTTTAATTAAATAAGAAAATATATCAGAAAATGAAATAAACTTATGCTCAGATTCTAATTAATATTCAGATTCTGATTCTGAATGCTAATTTAGTTTATAAAAAAATGATAAATAAAATAAACAAAATAAATAATAAGAACCAAATGTACCACATATATAATAATTACAAAACTAATATAATACAAAACCTCTAAAAAAGAATCCTAATATGAATATTGAAAATAATATATAATAAAACTTTTAAAAAATACCTGTTTCAGCAATTTCTTAAAAAAAAAAATAATTATAATAATAAAATTAAAAAAGTTAAGCAAAAATGAAAAACTTTTGCTAAGAATAATTTGATTTTTTTTAAAATAAAAAATGAAGGAAAAAATATAATTAATTTTTTTTTAATACATATATAAAAATTATTAGAAAATTAAATTAATAATTAAGTATTTTTTGTTAAATTATTTATTATGATTTTTTTTATAGAATATAAAAATATTTTAATTTTTGTTGTTATTTATCATTAATTTTTTAAATTTGATATGAGTTTATGAACAGTCTAATCCCAATTCATTTTCTAATTTGTTACTATATTATATTATATATATATATATATATATATATATATATTTTATATATATATATATTTATATTTATATATATTATAATTATTAAAAATAATAAAATTTATAATTACCTGGTAAAATTCTTCTCATTCCTTTGAAAAACTTATCAGACATATTTTCATAAATAACTTCTAAAGAGTCTTAAATTTTACTTTCATTATCAATAATTTTATTAACAATATCTTTCGATTCTTCATCAATATTTTAGCCTTTAATAGGTGCTGATTCTATTACATTTTTTACATTTTTCAAAGCTACATTTCCATCTTCAAAGAAATGACTATTAATTCTTATTTTTCCCTTTTTTATATATAAAAATTATTTTTTTTATTTTTTTTGGGTGGAATATCGATTAGTTATTTTACTTATAATTATTCTCTATCAAGTTTCCATTCTGATATCCATTCTCCGCTACTATTTATATATATTTTTTAAAAATATTTTGTTTGATATTTAGTATATATATATATATATATATATTGTTAACTGGAAATTTTTAAGATTGATATTTTTGCTGAAATTCCTATATAAATAGTAAAATTATCATCATCCCAATCTGAGTATACTATAATGTTTTTTATTTCATTTTTTTAAATGAAAATATAAAAAGCATTTATTTACCAACACAATCTGACGAGTTTTCTTTATAATAAGATTTCATATAATTTTTTACATGAGTCTCAATATTTTCTCTTTTTATAAAAATAAATATGTATATATATACATATATTTTACCTAAATGTAGATAAAACTTAATTACGAGGAATTTCTATATCTTCAGTTCTTAGAATTTTTAAAGTATAATGATCTACCCAAACTTTTTATGAATGCCTTTAATCAATATAATAATCTTCTTTTGATGATATTGGACATAATACGATTGACCTCTAATTATTTTAGTCATAGCATATCGCCAAATGCTCCTCATTATGCTCTTTTAATAAGCCATCAATCAATTATTGATTATGTTTTAATTCGGGGACTAATTTTTTCAAATCTAAAATAATTTATATAATTTTTTTAATTTTATTTTTTATTTGTTATAAACCTTGAAGTAAATCTGATGTTTCACCATATGGAGAGTTTTTAATAATATATTTAATTATTTTTTATTAATTTTAATCAAGTTCATATAAATTTTATTATTGTTAAGATTCTTACTAGTCTGACATATTAAATTTGTAATTATAATTATATTTATAATATTTTTTTGTTTATATATAATAAATTTTTTTTTTTTTTTTTTCTTTAATACTTATTTTTATTAATATTTTATTTAATATATAATAAAATTTTTAATTTTTTTTTTAGATTTTATATCAAAAATTATTTATATATATTTATTATTCTTAAACTCATATAATTTTGTTTATTTTAAAAATAAAATAAAATAAAAAATTAATTAATTCAATTATAAATTATATAAATCTCTTTATTAGTTTATAATAATTCTTATATTTTTCAAATTAAAAATAAATAGTTAGTTAATTTCATTAATAATATTATCAAATAATTAATGCAAATAAGATATTATTATAATTTAATTTATTTTCATCATAAAAATACAATATAGGAATTCGATTTTATAAATTCATAATTAAAGAATAGAAATTATTATTTACAATAACACATATTAATACTTAGTTTTAAAATAATTATATCTGAAAAATGTATGAGTTACATAACAAAAATAATTAATAACAGGATTAATATATATAAATTAGCAGAAAGTATAAAATTTAATTTCATATATTTACTTTAAAAAGTAAAAACCATTATCTTTATTTATTTAATAATTAAAATTCTAATAAATTATTATATTTTAAATTTAAGAGTTAATTATATTATATTTATCAAGTGTATTAACATAATATAAATATTTATTTCTTTAATATAAAGCTTTTATATTGTGTATTATTAAATTTATTAGTTTAATTTTATTTAATTCCCCCTTTTATCTTGAATAGTTTTAATTAAGAATTTTTAATTAAAATTAGATGAAGAATTTATATATTCATAATTTAATAATATTTAAATCCTAAAATAAATAATTTATTGAAAATTATAATCTAGTTATTTCATATATATATATATATAATTTAAAAAAAAAATATTGTATTTTCATTTGTACTTAAAATAAAGATTATTTTAACTTTGTAAAATTATAATATTAACATTAGATATGATAAAAAATAAATTAAAAGTAAAAATAGGCATATAAATATAATTTAAACATAAAACAAATAAAAAATAAAAAAAGAATTATATTATAAATTTAAAAAGTCAAAAATATATTTTTTAATTATTTAAAAAAAATAAACTTTAAATATTTGTATTATTTATATTTATATATTAAAAAATAAATAAAAATATATATATATATATATATATATTTAGTTTTTAAATTTTAAATGATAAATTTTTATATTTTAAATTTTTTAAAATAAATTAATTGAAAATTATTTTTTTCTAAAATAGTTAATTTAATTTATTTTTCAAAAGAAAAATAAAAAATATACAAATAAGTAATAATAAAATTTACTTAATTTTCATTATAAATTTAAAGTTTTTTATATCGAATTTTTTGCTAAATCAAACACCTTTTTTACATATATTTTTATAAAATAAAAAAATTATATATTTTTGTTTTACAGAAGAAAATGCTCTTTTATCAGTTGGATTTAAATTCATACTATTACAATCATTCATAACTGTTCTAGCCAATATTGTATTTGAGTCTAAATTAATAACAATTCTATTTTTTATTTTTTTTGCTTTTTTAAAACTTATTTAATTAATTTTAAAATAAACCCGTTATGAATTATTTCATCTACTAGTAAAATCAAATTTTCATAATTATCTAATATTGTCTTTTTATTTATTTATTCTCTAAAATAATATTATATATTAAAAAAATCAGTTTAAAATTTGAAAAAAATATATATTTATTAAAAGATATAGTTTATTTTTTATAAATAATTAAATTTAAATCTTATTTTTTGTTTTATTTATATATTTTTATATAATCTAAATAGATAAATTTTACTAAGTAAAATAGTTTAAGCATTCGACAATAGTTTGCAAAGTATAAGCTAATAAAACTTCATTTTCATCATAATCAGAATATATATATAAATAAACATCATTAAGTACTTTAAATAAAACTATGTATTTTCCTAATGTGTATATTTCAGCTTTTTATAATTATTTTTTATATTAAAGTTGTTCTGTAATATTTTTGTTTTCTTTTTTTTTTTTACTATTTGAAGGTTTCATAGATTTTAATGAAAGAAATTTTTGCGATTTTTAAAATATTTGCTATTCAAGTTCTTAAATATTTTATTAATTATAATAATGTTTGCTGTATATCCTTGATCCGTCACTTCGTAAAAATGCAAGTCCGCTTATTTTAGAATACTATAAATTTAAATTATTTAATTTTTTGAGTGTATAACATTATTTAAAATTTGAATAATTTATATTAATTTATTTTTTATTTTTTTAATACATCCATTATTAAAGCTTTTTTACTTTACTTTACTTTTCTTTTTTTTTTTTTTATTAATTTTTATTTATTTATTTCTATTTTTTTTTTTTTTTATTTCATAATTTAATTTTTTTTAATATTTTTTTTGACTTAATTTTTAATTTGTTTTTTTGTTTTTTTTTTTTAATTTTTTAGATTTTATTTTTTTTGCATTTTTTTTATTGACAAAATTAATTGATTTTAAATAGATAAAATACATTTTTATTAATTTGATATGCTATTATATATATTAAATTAAAAATTTTTATAAGAAAAATTCATAATAAACATCTACTGATTATATTTTTTTCTGTTTTTTTTACTAAATTATATTAAGCTTTATTTCATTAAAATAGCGTTTTATATATGTATAATTTTAATACAAATAATAATGGTAACTATATATTATATTTATAAAAATAAATATTATTTAAATATAAAAAAAATTACTAAAGATAAATAAATATAAATTGAAATATATATAATGTAAAAAATAATATAAATGCATTTATCTTTAATTATTTCTATATTTTTTAAAAAATAATTTAAATATATTAATGTAATAAAAATGTTAAAAAACTAAAAAATTATTTGATTAATAGAATTTATATATAAATATTAAGATGTGTTTTTTTTTAAAAAAAAAATCATTAATAAAAAGAATAAAAAAAATTATATTAAAAATAAGGATATATATATATATATTAATATTAAAAATTATTTATAAATATTAATATATTTATATATATATAACTTATTTTTCTTTATAATATATTAATAAATTTGTTATCATTAATTTAAGATATATTATTTAAATAATATATTTTCACTTATTAAATTTTCTTTTTTAAATTAAAAAATCTTAAAATAAATTTTATATTCATTTTTTTATACTTTAAAGATATTTATATTTTAAATTAATAAAAAAATATTTACTGTATTATTAATATTCATAAAAATAATAAAAATTATTATATTTTTTTTAAAAAAAAATAAATATTAAATATAGAAACTATATTTTTTAAATATTTTTAAAAGACAATAAAATTAATTTAAATTTTAACAAATTACTTTTAAAAATATTTATTATTAAAATATAAAGTTATCTTAAATTTTTTTATTTTTATATTTAAATGTTACAAAAATATAATTAAACTTCTTAAAAATAAGATCTATAACAAAAATAAAATAAAGTAGATATAGAAATAGATATTGATATAGAATAATTAGAAGAAGATGAATAAAATAATAATTTATTAGAATATCGATTAAAGTAATATACAGAAATGCCATTAATAATAAATTTATAGTAATTATCTTAAATTAAAAGGTACGTTAGAAAAAATAGAAAAATAGCAATCGATATATCAGGTTTTTTTTTTTTTAAAAAAAATAATCATTTATATGCGAAAAAAAAGGTACAAAATATGATTTAGTTAAATCAATTAGCACAAATTAATTCTAATGGAATATAATATAAAACAAAAATTCTTAAGAATGGAATATTAGTTGGCAAGACTCTTATGTTACTGAAGATTTTTTGCGAAAAATGCTTCCTTTTTAGAAAATAAATCATTTTCCAGGCTCATTTAATCTCGGGAAAAAAAATTAGCTTGGTAAAAATCTATCAAAAATGAAATAAAAACATCCTTAAGATTATGATTTTTTTCCCAAAACATGGTTATTACCTTATTAATATGAAGAATTAAGAAATTACTATGAAAAATAAAAACCCAAAAAGCCTGTTTTGATAGTAAAACCAGAAGCAGGTTCATAAGGGAAAGGTATATGCATAATAAAGAGTATTTAAAAATTAAGTAAAAAAAAAAAAATTAAAAAAAAAAAAAAAAAAAAATTAAAAAAAAAAAAAAAAAGCAAATGATTAACATGTAGTAGTCCAAGAATATATAAAAAATCCATATTTAATAGAAGGTTTAAAATTCGATTTTCGGGTATATGTGCTTTTAAGAAGTGTAAATCCATTAAAAATATTCTTATATAGAGAAGGATTAGCTAGATTTGCAACTGTGAAATATCAAAAGCCAAAAAGATCAAATGTTAAAAACTTATGTATGCATTTGACAAATTATGCTATTAATAAATTAAATGAGAACTTTTAATTTAATAAGGACGCTTTTTAAGATAATATAGGGCATAAAAGGAGTCTTTCTTCAGTTTTGAAACTTCTTAGTGATAAAGAAGTAGATGTGGACAAACTGCTTGTTTAAATTAAATAAATTATAAATAAAACTATGTGTAGTGTTTAACCTTATTTAAGTCATTTGTATAATAGTTCATAATTAAAAAGTGAAAATAATTAAATGTGCTTTGAAATTTTTGGATTTGATATTATGCTGGACTAATTTATGAAACCGTTTTTGTTAGAAGTTAATCATACTCCGAGTTTTACTACGGATACTCCTTTAGATTATAATATTAAACATTGCTTAATAATGGATACTCTTATTCTTATTAATACTAGATATAAAGATAAAAAATAGTAAGTTTAAATATATATTTTTATATTTATAAATTTATTTAATAAAAAGGTATTTTGAAGGAAAGAAATAAATTTTTAAATAGAAATAAAATAATAATGAATAATAAAAATAATATAATATAGATTATATTAATAAATATGAATAACTTAATATGGGAGGATATGTAAGAATTTTACCACAAAATTCAGTAAAATTAAATAACTGTATATTTTTATAGAATATATATATATATAAATATATATATATATATATATTTATACTATTTTTTTATTATATATTGAATTCTTTTAATTTTTTATTTTAAATTAATCAAAAAGGACGATAATTTAGATTATAATGTCTTTATTTAAGCTGCTTAAGAAATACTTGATGAATTTACAGGAACTAAAAAAACTAGTAATTCATTTTTAAGAACTCCTATTATGTAGAAAAGTTTTATTAAAAATACTCCTTATATAATAAATAATAAAAATGAAGAAATTACAAAAAATAACTTAAAAAATATATTTTGCTCTCATAATATAAATAGTCAAAATAATAATAATAATTAATATGTATAATTAAAAAATTAAGATTCATCTTCCAGAAATATAAATTAAATGAAAAAAAATAATTATGTTTAATAATAATATGAAACAGAGGAGGAAGATGGTAAAGTAAAATAATAATAAAAAGCAGTTTAATAATAAAGGCCTCATTCAAGTAATATTGTTTAAAGATTAGAAATTTTAAAAAAAGACTTGTAAAATGTTAAAGAATAAGCATATTAATAAATATAATAATAAGAATAATATATACAAAGAAATTCGGGTGGTTTAGAGAGTTTTCTTAAATAATAAATAATTAAAAATTCTGCTAATAATAAATAAAATAAAGAAAGTAATGAAAATGAAAAAGAAAAGGAATCAAAAAAAGAATTCACTATATGCATATAAAAAGCTAAAACAATTGAATAAAAAGGATCTAAAAATCAAAACTAAAGTCAGTAAAGAATAAATAATTAAAAATAAAAAAATAATTAGTTATTTTAAGAAAAAGATAGCTTGTAGTAAAAATTAGGATAAAGTAATATTTAAAAACTTCTTGATTTATTAGATTGTAAGCCTGTTTCTTCTGATAAGAATTAATTAAATAATAAAGATAATATTGATAACTTTTCAGTAATTAATTATTATGTTGTTTAAAAAAATATGGATAGTCTTAGAAAAATAAATAAGATTTGAAATATTAAATGATCATAATAAATAAAAAATTAAATTTGAATGATTTATATTAGATAAATATATATAAATATATAAATATATGATTTTTATTTAAATAATAAATATATATTATACATATTAGATATATTTAAAATAAAAGTAATATATTTCTATTAATAATATATTATTAATTAATTTTTTATTAAAAATATATAAATATATATTATATATTATATATATTATAAGGATAAATAAAAAAAGTAATATATAAAATAAATAAAATATTTTGTTCTGAATTGATGTATATAATAATATATAAATAGATAAATAAATATATATATATATATATATATATATTAATATTATTAATATATAATAACACTTATAAAAATATAAATTACTAAAAATTCAAGTTTAGTAAATTTCTAATAATAAACGAAAAATCTGAATAATCATTATTTTTAATTATTAGGATTAATATTATTATTTATATCATAATAGAAGTTTTCCTAATTATAAGATTAGTAATTAGTATTATTTTTCTTTTTAGGTTAAATTTATTCAAGAGTACTACTTTTATCTTCTTCGTACTTAACTTATTTTCTAACATTTATATCTAAATCCTCCCCATTAAATTCTTTGTTTTCCTTAATTAAACCATCTTAACAATTTTAACAAGAATCGCATTTACAATTACTCATACATTTAAGTCCTGCATTATAACATTCACAGTATTTTTTCAAACAATTAGTCTTTTTACAAGTACAACCTTTTCTATGCAAAACTGTAACTTGAATTTAATTCTATTATTCTACTTAAAATTTGTGTTTAAAGGCTTCTGGATTTCTATTTATTGCACCATTAACTGCTTTTGTTCTTTCTATTTAATTTTATTCGGTGTTCCCGCATTGAGTACATATACATTTTTCGTTACAGTATCCTCCATTCATAAAACATTCACAATACAATTAAAGACAGCGAGATTTTTTGCATTTACAGAATTCTACTTTTCGTTAAAATTGGAAAGTATCAAGTATTAATTATTAGTTGCTTGATTTTTCATCTAAGTTTTGATTTTATTAAAAATAATAATATTAAAAATAATTACTATTGCCATTATAATTATTGCTATTATTATTATTGCTATTGCTATTGCTATTGTTATTATTACTTATTATTATTATTATTATTATTATTATTATTATTATTATTATTTTATTGTTATTATTATTTTTATTAATATTATTATTAGTATTATTATTTGCATTAATTAATGTTTCCTTTTGCTTATCTATAATTGGAGAAATTTATTTTTTTTACTTTTTTTTATTTTATTTTTTTATTTTTTAAGGAGTTTCTTGATTGTTTTTAGATTCTTCTGTGTTTTCAGGGATTTCTTAATATTTTTTTTTTTTTTTTGGAGACTATTCTTCATCTTCTTCTTCTATTATACTCTATTTTTATTAACAATCATATATATTATGTATAGGATCTGATGTTAATTGAATTTATTAAAATATTTAATTAAAATAAATTTTTTTCATCATTTGTTTTTAAAGAATTGGATAATTAATTTTAATTATTTTATATATTAGTGCTGTTGTTTTCTTTTTTTTCTTTATATTTAATAGGTTAAATATTTTTTAATCCATAATCTGGATTATATATACTTAATTATTTTTTATTTTGACTATAATCAGATGTAATTTCAGGATTGTTGAATGTACTTATTTTTTAGTGTGAATATAATATGCTACTTTTAAATAAATTTTTAAAATCATCAGGGGTTTTATAATTATTATTTTATCTGTTTAAAAATATAAGTATATAAATATACAATAATTATAAATATATAAATTATTATATATATATATATATATATATATATATTTAATTTTATTTATATATTTTTATATCTATATAATTAAAATTTTCTGTGTCTATATGTATATTTGATATATGAAATTTTTTTATTATATATTTTATATATAAAAAAAAGTTTTATTAATTAAAAATAATATATACTTATTAATATACTTATATTTTTTTATTTAGTTTAAAATAATTAATGATAAAATATATATATTAGCAATTTATTATTAATAATAAAAAAAAGAATTTTTTTTTTCATTAAAAATTATAGTTATTATATATTATTTTACTGATATATCAAATTCGGTGATTAAAATTAATTTATTTATTTATTATTATTAATTTATTCTTAGTTACATTATGATTCATTACCATAAAAGTAGTTTTTATTTAGAATTTGCTGGCTGAATTGTTTGCTTAATTATCGTATTATGTTTCCTTTTTTGTTGATTGATGTAAAGGGGATAAACCTTAAAATAAATTTCTATAATCTTCCTGCTCCATTTCCATTTTAATTTATAAATTTTATTAGAATATTAATAACTTTTTTCTTTTTTTTTTTTCTTTTGTTTTATTTTGTTTTCTTATTAAATTATTATAATTATATTTCGAAATACAAATGATAGATATCTTTTTTTTTCCTGATTTATTTTTTATTTCTATAAACCTAATATTATTTTATAAAACAAAACATAAAGTTAATAATTTTATAAAAAAATAATAATAATTAAATTCAAAGTTAATTTTTATTAATATAATTTATAAATTAATATTAATTTAATTAAATTTTTTATATTTAATTATTAAATTAAAATAATTATTTAATAATTATTAATAATTTTTATTGATAAAATAAAATGTATAATCTTTATTGTAATATTTTATATTTAGATACATTTATTCCAATAAAGGAAATTCAATTTCTTTTTTATTTTTTTAATTATATTAATTTATATTTTTTATATTTTAACTTTATAATATTATATAAATATATTTTAATATATTTTAATATTATATAAAATAAATAAATATATAAATTTTATTCCTTATATTTTAATCCATTTTTATTTTATTTATATATATTTATTTTATTTATTTTCAAAACAAAATAATTTATAAATAAGAAAAATATATTAATATCAATTAACAAAAAATATATATAAATAATACATTAATATATATAATATTTATTTAAAATTAAAAATAAAAAATTTATAAAAGTAGATAGATATATGTTGATTTATAAAATTAAAGATAATATTATTATTATTGATAAGATAAATATAAGGAGGAACAATATATCCAACTCTTATACCCTCCTCCAATCTAAAACACATTAGCAAATGCAGATGTAAAAGCAGATTACACATTTTCCTTTAAAGTGGAGACATTTCTCCCTCAAAATAGTTTTTTAGAAATTACATTTCCATCATAATACAAAAGCCTTCCAAATAAAGCAAATTTATAATGTAATATACCATGTACTGCTTAAGGCTTAATATTAACACTAATATTTCCATATAATTTATTTCCAGATATAGGTTAAATAATATTTTTTTTTTTTAAATATATAATAAATAGAATATAATGTAAATGTATAATAAATAACAAATCCATCAACACCAGGTGGAATCGGAAATTTTATATTAAAAACAAAATAAGGGAAAAACATAGTTGATGAAAATTCTATATTTGGTATTATAGGAATTTCTGAATTATCTAAAAGTTTAATTTCGGCTTCTATAGAAATTATACCTTCAGGAAGTGACAAAGCGGGAGATTATACTACTTATGAGCTAACATTTAAAACAACAAAGAATATAAATCCACTTACTTATTTTATTTTAAAAATACCAAATGATTTTATTTTGTAAAAATTTCCAACATGCTTTTCGCCTAATATGAACGGGAATTTTATATCTGGTTTTCTTACATGTGAGAAGATGTAAGGAAATAAAATATAAGTAAAAGGAATTACGGGAATAATTAAAGGCGAAACTGATTATGTACTCAGATTTTCTATGTAAAATCCTCCTTATGAACTTAGTAATAATGAAATAAATGAATAGACTACTTTTTCGTTTTATATATATAAATATGGAACATAAATCTTATATGAAAGTAAAGAACTTATTAAAGGAGTTTAGATTAATCCATCGAGTTTAAATAATGTTTCTTTTGAAGCAGTTGATAAATTAAATTATAATAATAAATATAAATTTGCTGAATATGAATTGAAATTTACACCAACGTTAAATTTAAGATCAGGTTTTTATAATAAAAAACTATAAATATATATAAAAAAAAAAAACATAATAATAAAAAAATGTATATATATATACTTTAAATTTGATATATTTATTAAATTATATATTTTTAAAATATAATACTAAATGAACAAAATTTTATTAATTATTCTTTATAATAGAAAACGTCATAGTTATTGAATTTCCTGCCTATTTTTAAATTTTAGATTCTGAATTTTTAATGTTTAAAGATGAATTAATGCCGTTTTTTCATTATGTTCGGTATGGTTTGGAAAATGTGTCAGAATAAAGTAAGGTATCTGTTGTTAAAAGTTAAATAATTGGTAAGAATAATCAAATTGAAATATCTAATTTTCTTACTATGAGAATTCCAACCGAAATTTGTGTGAGAATTATGACTAGAAATCCGGATGTGGAAGGAATTACAACTCCTTTAAAATTGTATATTTATAGAGATAGTTCATAAAAATAAAAAATATCTTAAGATGTTAATACTGCAGTTACAATAATAGATTAATATCGTAAATTTTAAATATAAATAAATATAAAACAGTATAAATATATATATATATATATATATATATATATATATAGTTTATTTATGTTTTATATTATTTATTTATTTTATAATAGCTTCATGTGATCATAGTATTGATTAAGTCTTAGCTGGTGTAAATTATAAAATTAATAATGGAAATTATCCTATTACTAATAGTAATATTAATAGAATATCTTTTGAATTTAAACCTACTTTAACAGTTCCGAAATTAGGTTTGATTAAAATAAGGATTCCTACAGGATTTAAAATATAAAATTAGTTTCGTAAAATATTTTTAATTTTTTATTTTATAATACAAAATATATAAAATCATAAAAAATATCATATTAAAGTTACAAGTTCTTCATTATCTAAATGCTTAATTTATTATAATATTTAAGAAAATAATAGTAACACTTAAGGCGGTTTTTTAAACAAAAAACTTAGTTACAGATCTATAGTTAATTTTGTTAGTAGTTAAAACATTCCGTGTAGTGTTACTTTTTAAGACGATATTATTACTTTATATAATATATCAGTTAATGTAATAAAATAATTAAATTTTAATAAATATAAAAAATGAAAATAAATGTATATATATAAAATATAATATGTATATATAAATATATATATTTTATATATATATATATATAAATATAAATGCATATATACATATATATATATATATAAATTAGTTAATAGCTAATAAAATCCTCCATGTAATTAAATTAGATAATTGCTTTATTGCGCCAGGAAAAAATGGGTTTACTTAAGTTTTTAAATTTATTTATATATATTTAAAAAAAGAACATATTTTTTTGATTTTACTACTTATGATAGTGATTAAAAAACTATTTTAGAATCATGGAAAGATCCTTTTTAAATAGATCCTCCTCCAGTAATTAATTATTTTATAATCATTAATTTTTTTTTTATTAAAGATATAATCGCCATTTATAATATTATATAATAATATAAAATCTGATTATACAAATGTAATTAAAAAATCAATTTTTGAATTAGGCTTTATTACTGATTAATAAATATCATCAGGATAAAAGATATATAAGGCTACAGATACATAAAGTTATATTTAAATTGATTTCAGAAGCTAACCTGGATAAGCTTAATGGGATAATTAATTAGGAATTAAATAAGAAGATAGTTCTTCTATTTAATCAAATACACTAATACCTTGTAAAGGAATATAAGGAATTCTACCTATTGAAGGTTCTTCTATAGAATGTAATTATGTTTTAGCCAAGTATTCTTCCGTTTTGGGTATGACTTAAGAAATATATCCATAAATATTTATAAAGAATTTCGTGTAAAATTATTTTATTTTTATATAAAAATAAATTATAAATATAATGTAATAATAATAAAATAAAAGTTAAATTAATGCAAATTAATAAGTTAGAATACATATTCCTAATATTTAAAATCCATCAAATGGATCAATGAAAACAAGTGTTTAAGTTCGAATAATTTAAAATACAAATAATATTATTGAAATAAAAAATCAATCTATAATATAAATAAACCTATAAGGTAAAATTATATATATAAAATATGTAAATATAAATCTATTTATTTATAGATAAAAAAAGATAAAAATTAAATAAATAAATATATAAAATAATAAAAAAAATAATATAAATAAATATATTTATAAAAATATAAATATAAATTCATATTAATAAATTTTTATTTATATATATATTATTTAAAGACGATTTAGGTTAATTAGCCATATCACCAAATTAATTGACTTATTCAAATAAAAAAGTAGGAGAAATATTTAATTTAAGTTTTTAATTAGGACTAAATGTATAAGCTTAGAATTTATTATTTATTTAATTACCTAAATATGATATTGGCTTTATAAGAAAAGATTAGGCTGTTTCTTGTTTATAAAATGATTTAAATCTTTATTGTATTCCTTATCCTGGAACTGATATGATATTAATTTTACTTTAATAACCTTTGGCTTAAACTGATATTTTGTAAATTAATAACTTAAAATGGCCCGATTATTAAATTTTGTTCGGAAACACTGCTGGATAAGATGAAACTATCAATATTTATGAAACTGATTAATTAGGAGTTACTCTTTAATATGTATTTTTTAATAATTTACCTTCTCCAAATTTCGGCTCCGTAGTCGAAGGTTCTATTACTATACCTAAAAAAGTATTTAATATATAAATTAATGTGTATTTTTTTTTAATTTCTTTCGAAAAGGGATTTTCATATGTTGATTGTTATTATGTTTTCAAATTTATATCTGATACAGATATTCCCGCTAAAAGTATTATAAAAATAAAATTTCCTGATATTTATAATTTACTTGATTCTGATCCTTTACCTGAAATCTCTGTTTAAAGATTAATTGATTATAGTAAATAAGAACCATTAACTATATAATCGACTATATAAATAATAACTGTAAAAAATAAATAAATATATAAATTAGAAAATATAAAAGATAACAAATATGTAAAAACACAATGCTTATGAAGAATTTTATGTTACAGTAACTGGTATTAAAAATCCTTCAAGTAATGATTCTAGTGTAAATTAAACTTGGGATATAACAGTAATAAAAAGAAATGAATTATTAGATTAAGACAATCTTGTTTTATAAAAAATTTCGTTTTTCTCTTTTGATTTTACAGAACCTTTTTAAAAAGGAAATATTGTATTTAATTAAATTGTTGCCTTTCCAATGAATGCAGATGAAACAGCTACATATACAATTGAATTTACACCAAATACTGATATACCTACAAAAGGTTAAATTTAAATCACTTTTCCATAATAAAATTATAAAGTACAAAAATATATATATATATATATATATAAATATATATATATATATATTTATATTTCTACATTTATATTTAATTAATTTTATATATTTGTATATATATATATTATTTTTTATATCATATTATTTTTTTTTTTTTTTTTTTAACATTATTATTTTTCTAATTTTTTTTTTTAAAATAGACTCTTCCTTCTAACCCTGATTGTAGATTAAGCGGAGCTGTAAATACATTTAGTAGTTGTAGTTTAAGTGGGTCTACATTTACATTAAGAATCGAAGAAAAATATAATTCTGGAAGTGGCTCAATTATATTGAAAATAGCAAATATTAAAAACCCTGATTAAGGACCTACTTAAGGATTTATCATAAAAACTTTATATGATGGTATTTTTTTAGATTAAACAGATGAAAGTACGCCTAATAGTAATCGAAATATAATTATATATAGCAGAGCATCTCCAATAACAGTAAAATCAGTAACGTTTGACCCTAAAAATATAAGCGAGGAAAGTACTTATACATTTAAATTTATTACATAAGATTAATTAACAACTGGTATGAATATTCTTTTTTAATTTCCTTACGATTATGATTCTTTGTTAGGAAGAAATATTAATTGTAAAATATTAGGAGGAATAATAGGTATTATTATATATATATATATATTTTATATATATAGAATAATACTAATAGGCAGTTAATATTTTTGCGATATAAAAGATAGAGGTGTTTATGTTAAAAATTTCGAATCATATGTTCCTTCCTAAGAAAATCCAATAATAATTCAAGTAAATGGAATAATTAATCCTAATGTAGCTTTCGTAGAAACTGATTGGATTAAAATTGCTACATTATATAATAATGATAATAAATTTATAAATTCATAACCATAAGCTTCCTCAGTAACTATGTTTGCATAGCCGGGTTGGATTAAAGTCTTTTAAGTATAACCTTCTCATTAAAAAGTACGTTATAAGGCTAGTTATTAATATTAATTTGAATTATTTAAAGTAGTACCCAAATAATAGTCTAAAGGGGCTATTTATGTCGATTTCCCGAAATAATTTGATAATATAGAAGATAGAAGGGTCTCATGTCAGACTTCTACGAAAGAATTTGCAATCATAATAAGCTGTTATGTGGAAAGAAACCGTGTTTAAATAGTTGGCAATACAGATGACTACAAAGGTGTGATTAGTTTAAATATTAACCAGATAGAGAACCCTACAGAATAAGGTGAATGTGATAATTTTTATGTAAGATCCTATGATGGTCAAAACTAAGTTATTATAGATAGAAGCTTTGATAATTTAGACCCCTTTTATTATTCGTATATACTCCCTGGGCTTATAATTTCAATAAATAATAATAAAACAATTAAAGTTTTCAGCGGAACACAAACTGAAGACCTTTTTGTAAATTTTGAAGTTCCAGCTTAATTGAAATTAATTTTAGTTCCAGATACAGTTACTTATATTAAGGTTATTCCTTAGACTATTAGTGTAGATTTGGGGTAGAAGTAGATTAAGTTTAGGATTTCTGCGCCTTAATAGATTTTAGTGGGGGTTTATTATATTAAATGGTATATTTTAAATGAATTAATACCTCCTATATATACTCCTTTGAAAAAAACAAGGGTAGAAGTCGAAGATAGGACAAATATTCCAATTTATATTAATAATATTTTAGATATTCCATATGGAGGAAACTCTTTGGATACAAAGATTTATATTAATTATGCATGTGATATAGCTTTTTAGATTAAAATTAATTTCGAAAATCAATATAAAGGAGTTAGCTTGAGTTCGGATGTGATAAATTTTAATAAAGGATAGAATTTTTAGTATTTAAGGGTAATTTCAGACATTAATATTACGACAGGGACTGAAGTGGAAAGGGGGAAAATTAAATTTCAAATCATAGGAATTGATACTAAGTTTTATTAATTAGAGGTTAGCTCATTGTATTTTACTATTATTGCAGCTGATACTGTCCCACCAGTTATCACGAAACTAAACATAGTTGATGTATAAAAAAATAGCGCAGTTATTAATATCAGGGTTAATGAACCGGCTGGAGTTTATTATATGGTGGCACTTAATAATACTTTAAAAGCGGAGTTTTAGGAAGTATTTAATAAAGGACCAGCTATTTATAATACTACGTAGAGTTAATATGGATATTTTGTTGTAGATAAGGAAAATGTAGATTTTAAATTTAATGTAGAAGATTTGGAAGCTTAAACTGATTATTGTATTTAAGTTTATATATAAGATAGGGGAGAAAATGTTAGTATTATGAAATAAATATCGTTTAAAACCTTAAGTATGCTTTTATTTCATTATATGAATATCTTATTTTTATATATATGTATAAAGATAGATATAATGCAGCTAATTTTAGTTTGAGATTTTAAGTTAGATAATTATATGAAAGTTAAAAATAAGAAATTTTAAGAGAAGTTTCTAAAACTCTTTCTATTGATATTAATTTGTATAAATATATATTTATTTTATAAATTTACTTTTTTATAAAATAAAAGTCTTTAGGAATAAAAATATTAATTTTCGAATAATTAAATATCAAGATATTTATTAAAAAAAGAAAATAAATAAAAAAGATAATTAGATGAAATTGACGAAAACTTGAAAATATAAACAATAATGCACTTATAAATGTATTCTGATAGATTTAAAGAATATTATCCGTCTCCATTTGATTTAATATAGTCTTTAAATAATAAATACGCATAATTAAAAGCTGTATTACCTATTATAGATATCAATTATCAAATAGTACCAAATGAATTTGAGATATACTATCCAAGTTTTGTAAATAATCCTTAATTAATAAATTCTATTTGGAATTAAGCTAATTTTACAGTAAGATTAAGTCATCCAGGTTGGGTGTTTATTTCTTGTGTTTCTTAAGATATATAAGAGTATCCTTCACCATATTAAATATATGCAGGATTAGACAATCATAATATATTAGCTCCTAATGGTAAATAAGAAATTACAGCTGCTTATAATTATTTTAATGTTACTGTTAATAATCTAAAGCCTTTAACTTAATATTATGCATATGTAGTTGGAGGAAGTGCACATCCAGGTTTTCCGGATTTAATGAATGCTAATAAGGTTTTTAGAATTGAATTTAGTACTATTTAATCACCCGATGGTAATTTGAATATATATTAAATATAAATATTTTTTTTTTTAGATTTGCATTTAGATTTAAATTTTGTTAATATTTTTGTGTTTAGATTATTATAGTTTATTTTGCTTTTTAATTTATGAATTATAGAGTTATATTATTTTAAAATATAATTTTTTTTAAATAAATAAATGAAATAATTTATATTTTCAAAAAAATTATATTTATTCTTTTAATGAATAAGTTATATGATTTACAATTTTAAACAAAAAGTTTACTAAATTTTTAAATATAAATAAATCAAAATTATAAAAATTAATATAATATATAATTTTTAACTATATTAATAATCATTAAATTAATTAATATTAATTTTTACAATTAATTTTAGAAATTAGAAAAGCTTTTATTTATGTAAAAATATTAAATTTACAAAATACATAAAAAATATCTAAATTAAATTTTATTCATAAAAAAAATTATTATATTCAATAAATTAATAATAAAAAATAATTTTAATATTAATTTGAAATTAATAAATTTTTTTATTAAAATGAGATGTATATTCAGAATTATTTTTAGATAAAAAAAAAAATTAAATACATACTATTAATAATGTCATATAAATAAAAGATTTAGAAAAAATTAAAAAATATAAATAATAATTATATTAAATTTAAGAAAAAAAATAATTTAGAATTAGAAATTATCATCTTCATAATATAATTAATATATATATAAAAAAAAATATATTTATGAAATTAAAAATATATAAAATTTAAATGATTTAAAGATTTTTGAAATAAATTAATTTTCGAGATGATTATTCAGAAAAATAAAATATTAGATATATAAAAATTATATATATATATATATTATTAAATATACATATACTTTAACATATTTATAATAAATATATATTATGTATATTATTTTAATAATATTTTACTTTATTTAAATTTATTAAAGTAAATTAATTTATTTTTACTTTATATTATTCATTATCAAAATATTTAAAAATATTTATTTTAATTTATTATTATAATTTTATTTAAATAAAAAAATTAATTTAATAATTAATATTTAATTTATAAAATAAAAATAAAAATATTATTGAAATAACATAAATTAATATAAAATATATCATAAATTCTATCCTAGTCTATGTATTTATTAAAATGCATATTTAGCATCTTCTTTTCCTTTATCTACAGTAAATATAATTCTAAAAAAGTTTTTTTTTTTATATTATTTTTAATCTTATTTTTAATAAGCAACCATCATGCAGCCTTCCTCTACCATTTTTCCTTTAATAATAGGTGGTATTTTATGTAATTCATTCCAAAAATTTTCATTATCATATTCTTTTTCCTTTCTTTTTAAAAAAGAATCCGGAAAATAAAAAAATGAAACACTAACATATTCCGGTTCTAAAATAAGTTCAAAATTCTTATGTTATTTAACCAAACTACTAAAATATTAAGCAGTATCAATTGCATCCCTAATTAATTTTTCAATACCATTACTGCCATAATGCATCCAATAAACCCAAATTTTCAAAACGTCTACATGTTTAGAATACTAATTCATTTAATCTACCTAATCTAGATTGTTTTCCTTATATTCTCCGTCTTCAGTATCAAAAAAACCTTATTCTACACCGTTTGTCTATTCTAAAATATCCGTATGTTAGGTAATAAGCATACTACATTATTATGGAACATTTAAAAGCTTATGAGCATCCCAAGCGAAACTATCACAAGTAGAAACTAGTGAATTTTTTTAAAATATTTCATCTAAAAAAAGCATATGACCGCCCCAGCAACCATCGATATGTATCCACATATTATATTTTTTACCAATCTATACACATTCATTTATTTTATCAATTACTCCATATACAGTAGTTCCGCAGGTTAAATTTAAAATTAAAGGTGTCTTAAAATATATTTATATTTTAATATATATATAAAATTATAAATATATATATTTATATATAAACATATATATATTTATATATAAACATATTTTTTAATTAATTATTTATAAATTTATATTTTTATTTATTGATATTTTTTATATTTTATATATTTATATAAATACATATTATTGAATATTTTTATATTTTTTTTTTTTAATTTAATTTTTATTTATATATATATTAAATACATAGTTTTATTTGATACAATTCTATATTTCTTTTTCAAGTTCTTCTGGTATTATTCTACCTTATTTATCACTTTAGACTTTTATTATTGCGTCTTGTCCAAATCCCATTAATATAGAACCTTTTTCGAGACTATAATGTCCTAATTCTGATGTAAATATTCTTATTTCTGGCAAATTTTATATACATGTATATTTTTTTTCTGGGAATTTCCAGTATTTAGCTAATTCAATTCCATAAAAGTTAGCTTGTGATCCTCCTGAGGAAAATATACCAGAAAATGACTCCCATTTAAGGTATTTTTAAGCTATTGTTTTAAAAAGAATATTTTCCATTTTTCTATATAGACTTGATGTTTCCATATTTCCTATAGTACCGTTTAATGTTGATGTTAAATAATCCGCAGATAAAGAATATTCATTTATTCCTCCAAACAAATTATTATAAAAATGAACTGATGATGTTTTTACACTTAAATCACCTACTTTTTGTAGAAAATCAAGAATCTATTAATCTGAAGTGGGTTATTATGGTATATTTAAGTCTATATGATTTTCTAAATCTTAAGGTGTTTTAAAATTAATTACTTTAGATGTACCTTATTTAGATTATTTAATTAATTATTTTAGTAGTTTAAATTCTTCTTGGAGGAAGTCTATAGAATATTCTTGTTGTGCTTTTTTTTATTAAGTTTTTATTTTGTTTTTTTTATTTGATAAATATACTTTGAATAGTTTCCATATTTTTTTATTGTATAAATATATTTTTTTATATTATAAAATTTATTTAAAATCTTTTATTTATTTTCTTTTATTAATATGATTTTTTTTTTGTAATTTATATATATATGATTAAAATAGTTATTAAAATTTTTTTTTTTTTTTTATATATAGAAACAAAAAAAAATAATCTTATGTAAAAAACATATATATATAATTTATGATAAAAGCTAATTTCATAATAATTATATTAAAAGAGAAGCAAAAGCAAAATAAATAATGATTGAATTACTACTAAAATTATTAGGGTTGCTATATGACTCAGTAATACATTAAAGAAGTGACTTTGATAATTCTTTTACATCTTAAGTTAAAAAAGAATCAGCTTAAATCATATTATTTTACTATTAAACAGCTTTAATAATAGCTTATTTCGATGATAAATCATTTACTTCTCTTTTACCGTCATTTAATTATTTAATAACATTTACATTAGTAGTTTTATTAATTTCATTATCGAAACAAGTAAATGCAACTAATTTATCTTATTCTAAATCTGTTCTAATCAAGTTAATAAAAAGAAATAAAAACAAAAATGCTAATAATTTTTATTTCATTTAGTTTTAAAAATTAAGAATAAAATTTTATATAAATATAATAAAAAATTATTTATTTAAAAAATTTTAAATAAAAATTAATATAGATTATTAAAATAAAATAAAAAAAATTAATCATAATTAATAAATGTAAAAACATATATATATATATAGATATATATATAAATATATATATAATTATATATAATAAAAAATAAATATATATATAATTATATATAATAAAAAATAAATATATTTAAAATAAAATAAAAAATATTATTTATATATATTTTTAATGATAAATTTTATATTGATTAAACTATAACTGTAATTATATTTAAATATTTTTATTTCAATATATTATTATTTTTTTTTCTTCTTTTTTATTATATTTGATATATTAACAAATATATAAATATTTTTTTTTATATTTAAAAAAATTCATATCAAAATATAATAGAAAAAAAAAAATATAGAATAAAAATAATAAATATATATAAATTTTAAATAAATAATTATTAATGATAAATAAAATGAAAACATTTGTAAAAAATTAAAATATGAAATTATATCTAAAATTATGTATATATTTATATATATAAATAAATAATATATATATATATATATTTATATATATATATATATATATATATATATAAATAAAAAAAAAAAATATATATTATAAAAAAAAGTAATTTTATTATATATATATTAGTTTTAATTATTTTATTTATATATTATTTATTACTTTTATTATCACAATTTATATTAATATGTATTTAATTATTTTGTTTATTTTTTTTTAAAAAAAATATTTTTAATGCATTTTTTTTTATAATAAAATATTTTTTATTTATTTATCTATAAATATTTCATACAAATTTATTTTATATATAAATAATATTTTATATTTTTTAAATTATTTTTTTATTTTTAATTCACTCAATCATTTAATAATAATATTTTATAATCTTTTATTTTTTTTATACTTATATTAAATATATTAAATTAATATTTATATTAATATTTTTTTTTTTTATGTATAAAATAATGATTTAATTTAAATAAAAATTTTTAATTTTATACAATTTACATCTATTTGTATATTCATATAATATTTATATAATTTTTTATTTTTTATAATTATTTAATATTTTTTTATTATATTTTAAAATATTATTAATTAAATAAATATTTAATATATAATTCCAATAGTATTTTGTATTATGTTGTTTAATGTTATGAATTTTTTATATTAATAATTTTACATTTATATATTTTTCTATTATTATTGTTGTTTTTAAAAAAAGATTTTGTTTCTAAACTTCCATTAAAATTTTCTTTTTTATTACTAGTTTCTATTATATAATACTTTCGTCATTTTCATTAAAATTAATTTTTAATTTTATTAAATATTATTTAATATTTAAGTTCTTTGGTTTTGTTTTATTCTATATTAATTTCATTTGTATTTTTTATATATTAAAATTAAATTATTTTTATATTTTTAAATGAATATAACTCTAAAATATATTAATTTATTTTTGTAAATTTAAATTTCTGTAATTTTTTGCATTTTAGTTTATTACTATGTTTATCTTTTTTTTTAATATTTTTATTATCCTATTTACATAATACCCAATGTATATTTAAAATTTTGATATTAGTATCACTCTTGCTGTATAATATAGAGTTATCTTATTTTTAACAAAATATTTTAAACTATAAATAAAATATAAGTATTTTTCTATTTATTCTTCAATATTTTAAAATATTATATATCCTATATATAGTATTTTTAGTTTATTATATATCCTTAATATTTAAATTCATTAATTAGATTATATTAAATTTATTTAATTCGGTAAATTAATTTTTCTTTTAAATTTGAAATAATTTTTTTTTTAGCGAATATAATAATATTAGTCATTTATTAATAAATAAATTTTTATTTTCAATAAATTGAAGCCTAAACATATGCATCTATGTATATATTTTTTGATTTATTCTATTAAAATGTCAATTATGTAAAAATAGTTTAAAAAATTATTCTAATTTGGAGGGGGGGGGGATGTTTCTAAATCCTTTTATATTTCATTAATATTACTTATTTGCTTTTAGTTTTAATATTAACTATATAAGTAAATCAAATTAAATTGACAATTTTTTTTTTTCTTAAAAAATTATTAAATATTTAGAATCTTATTTAATATATTAATCATTTAGAATCAAATATAAAATAAATTCTTCTATTAATTTTATATATTTAAAAAATGATTCTTAAAATAATAGTTATAATTATTTTTTAAATTTTTATATATTTTGTAAATAATGAAAAATTATGAATATATTTAATTTCAAAACATTATTATTATAATAATATATATATATATATATATATATTTAATTAAAACCTTTTTTAATTTTTCACTTTATAATAAAAAATAATATGTATTTTAAAAAATATAAAATAGATTAATTTTTATATTTTTTATATATTGTCAATATCTTTTTGATAATGCTGAAATGCTGAAATTTAAGTAAAAAAAGTTAAATATGCTAGGAGTTATGACTAGCAACGACGCATATAATTAGTAAGCTATAAAAATGCTACCTTACCTGAAGAGGTGCAGCAAGATTAGCTTGAGTTTTTTTATCTTAGTCTTTAATACCTGAAAGAATATAGTTAAATTAAGTTTTCAGTTTTTCTATACATAGATTTTAAACATTTGATTTGTTAATTTAAGTATATAGAGAAAATCTAACTATTAGTTTATTTAAAAAAGTTTGCTTATTATTTATGAAGGAATTTTTTTATAATTTTAAAAAGTTGAATGCTTTACATATTTAATATTTTACTTATATATAAAAAATTTTATTATTGTCTTCTTAATTATTAAATTAAATTTATAAATAAAATATTTTATAACAATTTTAAAAAATTATTTTATAAAGAAATAAGGTTTTATTATAAAATCATTTTATTTTTAAAAAATATCTAATTTCAAATTTTTTGTTTATTTAAAAAAAAGAAATTTTTGATGAAGCTTTTAAAAAAATAAATATATATTTTAATATAATAAAGTGAATTTTTTTTTAAATAAAAAATATAATAATTAAGAAAAGTATTTTTTATTTATTTATTTTATATTTAGAATGTTTTATTTATTTGTATAATTTATATATTTATTTTATCTCTTTTTATGTCAAAGATCTGGATTTTTTAATATTTCTTTAAGAAGATCTTAAAATTAATCGATTTTTTAATTATCATTTTAAATTTATTTTTCTTTTTAAACTATTTCTTATATGTCTTTAAGAAAATTTTGAATTAATAAATCACTATTTTTTAATTTTTGATTTGTATTATGATCGAAATTTTTCATTTGTAAAGAACATATATACTCAAATAATTAAAATAATACTGTTAGAATAATTAGCTTAATCATTAGTAATGTTTTTAGCTTATAATATTAGAGTAAAATGTATTTTTATAAATATATATATTTATATATATATATATATATTTATTATTTAATTATATTTTGAATATTTATAGAATGAAACAATAATAATTTAATTTTATATTTTTATATAATTATTTTAATAAAAACAAAATTTCTATATAATAAAATTTATATATATAAAATTATGTATAAATTTTCAAATATTCTTTTTTTTTAAAAAAATTTCTAATATATTTTGCTATTTTTTAAATATTTATAATAAGATAATATATAAAAGAATTATTATTTTTTTTATATATTTTTTAAAATAAATATTAAATAATTAAATTAAAAACTATTTTTAAAATCTATAATATATTTTTTACACAGAAAAAAAAAATTCATTTAAAGAAATAAAAAACTTATTTTTTAATAAAATATTAATAATATAATATAAATATACATAAATAAATAAATAATATATTAAAATAATCAGCTATAATAGCATTACTATTGAATATATTGAATTATTTTTTTTATATAAACAAAAAAATAATATTCTCACAAAATCATTTAATTGCTAATATATGAATTATTACTTTAATTTATTAAAATATATTAGTTTTTTTAATATATATATATATATAATATATATATATATATATATATATTTTTATTTATTTATTTAAGTATTTTTTTTCATATTGTTATATAAAAAATAAATAAATATAACAAATCTACTTTTTTTTTTTTTTAATTTCAACTGCCAAATAAACTTGCGAAAAATCCTTTATTTTCTTACTAGTTTATTCTACTCATACTGTATATTTTACTTTCATCTTCTTCTTCTGGTGCTCTATTTAAATATGATCTTTTTTTTAAATTATTTATTAATTAATTATTATTTTTTTTAATTTTAATACTTTAATATTTTCAAAACTTTAACTAATTCTTATTTATTTGGTAATTCGTATATAATTGAAA